AACTCCATACAGACTCATCTTTCTTCGTTTTAAATATTAATTCACCCTTAAAGATGGTAGTCCATTCGGGTTCTTTAATACTTTCATTGGATGTTTTGTATCTTTCAATTGCTTCAATCTTTATTCTTTGTGTTTCTATATTAACTCGAAGATCCTTGACTTTTAAAGACAAGTTTGGTAGCTTTACAAGTACATCTATGTCAGTGATTGTTTGAGACCAAATATAAGTGTCTCTTATTGCTCCATTATAGCTATCTGATGGTTGTAGAGGTCTTACATTATGGCCTTTGTTTTTTACTTCATCTTCAATATCTTTAGACGTTCTAACTTCTACTTCTTCGGAAACATATGGAAACATATCCTCTTGAATTGTATTTATCATATTTTCTTCCAAAGCATAACATAATATTTCTTTTTCCATCCAATCCTCCAATGACATTTATATATGCCAAGTTTCAACTATTATGTTTCTAATAAATAGTTAAAAATTCCTTTTCTTTTTTCTTTTTTTTTCCTTAAGACCTTGATTTATATAAGATCGGATGAATTTATTACAAAAATACTATGTAATATATGCTATCCTGTAAATAAAATAAAAATGTTATTGAAAATGAATGTTTATGAAACAAAATATTTGCAGATATCCTTAACAATAACATTATTAATATTTCATTGTAACATAAAGTGGAAATTGACTTACCACTTTAACAAGGGAAATAAAAAAAATAAAAAAAATTCATTTAAAGTACAGATAATATATCATCATTGAAATAAAATTTTAAAAATTTGCCACATAATATTGTATTTCCATATTGTATTTAATTATACATCATTAATACACACGAATAGATAATGAAGTTAGCAACTTATAGCGAAAGGTTAAAATAAATGATAAAAATGTAGAAAAACCTTCATAAACGTTTATATATTATAATTTTTTTTTTTTTTTTTCTTTCTAAAGAATGTAAGTGAAATTATCATATTAAAGTATTCTAACCTCTTTTTATTTATCAAATTGAATCAGTTATACGAATAATAGTTAGGAATACTTTTTAGAATAATACACCGATGAAAAACGCTAACTAGTGGCATAAGGATTGTACTATTTTGATTTTATTTACGACGTTCCGAGCACAATCTCTTTTTTTTTTTTTTTTTCTTTTTTTTTTAAATATTTCTTTATTAATATATAATAGTAACCAAACGTTATATCTATATATTTTTTTTTTTGTTTTTTTCAATAATCCTTATAACGATTACAATCAATTATTTCAATAGATTGTCTAAGAATTTCTGAAACACACACACATACTTTTTAACGTAGAATTTATCTCGATAAAATTTTGTGCTCGTTTTTAAATACTTATTTAAATGTTTTTAAAATGAATATTACTTATTCTTAATTATTTCGAATGGTACAGATAACAACATGTGCACGTGATGATTTTGTAATATTTGTATATATTACAGTGTAGCAGTATTAACAGTACTAAAAATATAAACTTTTCTTATAATTTTAAAATATATAATTATTTATCCATTACATATAAAATACAAAGTCAAATGTCAGCACCTTAACATTTCATAATGCTTCTCTTCATTTTGTTTCTTATGAAACTCCTCTGAAAGAAATACATGTGCCATTATTAATATTTCATCCAAAAGTAACATTAAATATATAATTATTTATTGTACTTATATATTATTAAATGCTTATATTCATCAAAATTTTAAACGCGAATTATTTTTATCATATCTTATATCAGAAGTGTGTGATTGAATTATGATTTTTTTTTTTCTTTTTTTTACAATAGTGTATGCAACAGTCTTAATTTGTACAAATAAGGCAACACATTACATTAGTGTCATTGTATGCAATATATGAATTTAGAACATTCAATTCTAGAGTATTTAAATTTATAATTTAATAAAGTTTATTTTAAATGAGACTAATACATTTCTAATGAGTCTCAAGATGCTGCCATCTAATGTTGAAGTCATGAAAAAGTATGTAAAAAATGGCCTTAATATATAATAGGCCACATAATTCGGTCACTTATTAGCTATAAAATATTTAAGTATATTGTTTGGTTTAGGTTTGCTGGTTGTGGGCCAAGGTCGACTGACTTCTCTTTGTAAATCAATAGGTAAGGTTTTAAGAACTGTGTTATCCATTTTTGGAGATATTTGCATTGGTGAAGGTCCAAGCCTTAAACTTGCCATTTCATTGCTGGGTGTTTCTCTACGACCATTTAACCATACTTCTAATTTTGTTTTTTTTAACTGTGGTTCTACCTCACTTAATAAATCATCCTCTGTACATTGGTTGCTACCAATTGTTAATTTTGAGATTGGAGATCCATTAATGCCAGACAATGAATTTGCCAAACTTGTTGCGGACAATGAATGTTCAGAGCTATCATTACTATCCTGATTTATACTCATAGGTGATCCCAAACTAATGTCACAAATACCTTCCTCTGAACTTATATCCAAAATAGATTGTACGGCTACTTGTTTTCGTAAGAAAGAAGTAATACTACTACGGCCATAAGATCTCTCTTCAAACTTTGTAAAAGCCACTCCTAAAAGAGTCAAGTGAAATGGTTTAGAAATATCGACTGCACGATGAAATAATTTCATAGCTAATGTTAACATTTTAGCATGATCATAAACGCCAGATTTAGTCGAAGGGAGCAAATGTTTTGGTAAGGCGCACTGTCTGGTCTCTCTTTTAGGTTTATTGAAATCATGCTTTCTTACTGTTATTCTCATGGCAATTGGTATTCTACCATCTTCGGTAGCTAACTCAGTTAATCTTCTTAACAATGCACTGAGTCGTGACTCCACTTCACCAACCAAAGAAACACTTTTAAATCCATCTTCTAAACCAATAGATTGTTTTTTTGCAGATGGTTTTACTGTACTTTCATCTATACCTTCCGCATTATCTTTCAATTTTCTCGCAAGATCTTTACCAATCTTCAATTCTAAATCATGCAATGGTATTTTACGTAGATCTTCAACTGTTTTTATATTTTTTGATATTAAAAGTTCTTTAGTTTTTTGTCCGACTCCAGGTATTTTAGATATAGAACCTAAAGAGGATAATAACTTTGACGCACTACAAGGAAATACTAATGTTTGCTGATTGGGCTTATGAAGAGATCCTGATAGCTTTGCTAACAGTTTATTGTGTGCAATTCCAGCACTGCATGTAATATTTAATTCCTTTTGAACACGATTTCTTATTTCAGATGCAATTCTGGATGCAATCGCTAATCGTAAATGACAACCACAGGGACAATCTTCATCAGTCATTTCGAACACATTACCAATTAACTCTTTTGAATCATCATCAGTCGAATCATTTATATTTTCATTTGACTCGTTCTTAGATGAAATATATTTATCTACGATTGATGTTACATCCAAAAAATTGTCATCCAAACCTAACCTTTCGACTAATGGAGTGAATTGATGTAATATATCCATTATTTTTCCAGAATATTGACGATATATCGTTAAATCTTCCCCATTTACTAAGACCAAATCAGGACACAAACTTAAGGCTTCTTGCACTGGCATACATTTTTTAATACCATAACCTCGTGCTATATAATTGCTCGTAACAACTATATTTTTCTGTTGAACGCCAAATGGTTTTCCTTCAAATTCTGGATGTTGCAACATTTCAACTTGTGCATAGAAACAATCAACATCCAAGTGAATTATACATCTTGGATGACGTATGATTATGTCGTATTCGTAGGTATCCATTGGTATCAAATATTGCATGAATCTTGAATGTTAAAGACGTGACAATATAAATATTATTATTCAATTTCTCGTACGTTGGATTTCCATAATCTGTGTTAATAATTATCTAAAATATATAATGAGTATACATTAAATTTATAAAACATACATTATATTATAATATTTTGTTCATAATTATTATTTTCTAAGGATAATTCATAATTTATAATATCAATAAAATAATTCTTAATAGATTATAATATCCATTTGTTTGTTCTTATAAGAATACAAAATAATTTCATATCTATATATTAAAATGATCTATCCATTGAAAATATTATGAATAAAACCTTATAATGATATCGTATAAGGAAAAAAATTTACTCACCTTTAATAATATATATTCAAATTATTATACAATATGCTACAAATTTTCTTTACATAGACATCACTTAACTCTCATATCAGGGTTAGACATATTTTTCTTTATATTATTATAAGAGTTCTCAAATATGAATATTCTTCAATGAATTTTAATCGAACATTTTCAAGTAAACACGAACATTTAACATTTTGTTTGTATACATGACCTAGTGCGTATTTGCAAAATTAGGTTATGGTAGAAATATTTTCAACGTATATATTCATATACGTCCTTTCTTCTGAATTGCGCGCTTGCGTGGACGTACGTATAAATAATTATATATCGTAGTATATCTTCCGTGTTAAACGTTTCGTCCTTTAACCGAAGTAATTATCAAAATATAAAAAGTTGTATTAATAAATCAAAATATATTAAGTGCATGTAGAAATTTATTCTCAATAAGGTGTCCACTTTTCTCGACATACTGCGTGTGTACTAACAAAGTCATATTTTTGTCCATGAATAATATTAAATTATATCGTTATAAATTTTTCTTTAATATAATATTATTTTATCATTGATTATATGTTATATATTATTTATGTTATAAACTTATGATTATATTTATACAAAATAATTTCAATATATTTATAAAAATAATCAAATAAAAATATGATACCCTTTGTAATTTTATAGATACACTACTGAGTTGCCCGATTGTTTTGCCATCTACATACTAGAAAAATCTACGGAATGCGTTAGTATTATAACGTATGTATTATAACATTGTTATTGTATGCTATAATAATGAAAATTTGGAAAATTTATTATCACGTTAATTATTTAATTCTCAAATATTTCATTTCTAATTATTTCATATATGCGAAATTTCATTTGAAATAAATTCAAAATTGATTTCATAATTACCATAATATGACGTTTAATTTTTTTTAAGGTTACAACCGATACGTCGGAATAGTTGATTCTTATGGGTGTTCGTTTCAATGGTTTACGTGTCATAAAAACGTTTCTGGTGAAAGTTTGACACGCGCAAATTATTCATATTTTTATACGGAGAAAATGTTGTTATTAAATTTTTATTTTCAAATGGGTACGTATAATTATATGTCAAATAAATCTAATGATAATCTATAATTAAATCGTAATATTTATCTTTTTATATTTATAACATTCCATTATTTTCGTTAATCTACATTCGCTATAATACTCGTGTCAAAAAGTTTTGTTATTTATTATTTTTCAAAAAAAAAAAAAAAAAAAAAAAAAAAACAAAAGAAAAAAAGAAAACAAAAAAAAAAATTACAGAATTAAACAGTTCATTACTTTAAGTCTAAATAAATACATGAAATTTCTTTTCAGCTTGGACTTACGTAGCCTCTGTTGGTTGGTACATCGTTGCTTTAATAGGAATAATATGGTATACTTATCCGTATATTCAAGATAAATATACAAAGTGGAAAATAAAGAGAGACGAGGCAGAATATGCAGCAAAATATCATAAGAGTAAGACTTTTATCGTTAAGAGTAATCATGATAGATATTTCAAATTTCTATTTAAATTATTCATTTTTTTTTCTTCTTTCTTTTTTTTTTTTTTCTTTTTCTTTTTCTAGATTCTGATCTTCTACAACAGAGATTATTGGCGGTGGAATCGTCTAGGCAAAAAATGCAAGAACAATACATTAAATCGACATTAATAGCAAAAGAAAAAGAGGAAGAGGTATTTAATATTTCATTAAATAATTAAATTTGTATTATGGGTATGATAAATGTTAAACATGTTTAAAGGATATTATTTGTAAAGACAATTATTTATTTTGTTCTTTTCTTCTTTTTTTTTCTCTCTCTCTTTCTTCCTTTCATCAGCGCAAGCAAAAGAAAAAAGAAGAAGTTCGTAATTTGTTAGACGGTGATATTGTGGGCCATGGAAGAAAAGACGAAGCCTCTACGTCAAATGGAACGAAGTCAAAGTCAGGTAAATATTTCGATACTTCATATATTTACTAGGCCTATGTGCAAATTCATTATATACATCTTTACAGGGTATAATCCATTAATGGGAGACGGTTCTCGAAGCTATAGGCCACCCAAGCGCAGTTGTTGTGGAAAGGGTGGTTGTGGTTAATTATTTGAAAAATGTGTGCCATAGACTCATTTTAATCTTTTTTTTTTTCTTTTTTTTTTCTTTTTTTTTTTTTTTTCTTTTTTCTTTTTTATCCGTTATGCAAGTTTCTTTCTATTAACGAAAAATTAAGAAAAGATGGCAGTTTATATGTAACAAGACATATTTAAATATGAAAATAAATGTAAGTATACAAATACTTTGTATATACGATTCATCCTATGTGAATAAAATTATATATATATATATATATATATATATATATATATATATATATATATGTATATATGTATATATTTGTATTATAAACAGTTTTATGTTGCAAGTAGGTTAAAAATTAAGTTTAAATTCTCATACCGACTGTTACTACATTTTTTAAGTACAAGATTAAGTTTTTCCTTTTCTTTTTTTTCCCCCCTTTTTTTTGTTCTTTTTTTTTGTTTTTTTTTTTGTTTTTTTTTTCTTTTTATTACAACACAGTCTCTCAATCTAATAGTCAAAAAAAAAAAAAAAAAAAAAAAAAAAAGAAAAAAAAAAGAATGATTAATTCATTAGAAAGAAAATATTAATTCTGTAGATTTTATCACGATAATAATAAAACTATAAGATTAATTAATTATATTACATTCCATTCGAACAATAGATTCGATCAAGATAATAATAATTCCGATGATTGTGTTTTTGTCAATTAATTACATAAGTCACGTAGAATATATTATAATTTGTTTTGTAATCTAAATAATAATGTTATCACACTGTATCGTTTGTGCGTTATTGAAAACGTATCGTATTCGTGCAGGATCATTGTAATATACAAAGATATTAGAATTGTTTTTTCACGATAATAATTTACTTTTAAATAAAAAATAAAAAAAAAAAAAAAAAAAAAAAAAGATATTTAAAAATCAATCAAGTCGTATTTTATATTGTGACTTTTTGTACCATGAATGATAGCAATATTAATTATAGTTTAAAGTTTGAGAGTTATAAAAATAATATAATAATAAGAATTAAAATATTGAATAACAAATGATATTTAATTTTAATTTTTATTTCGTATCATCGGTATGTTATAAAACGATATTACGTATTTCTCATTTGTTTTAAATGTTGTCATTTAAACGGGAATTCTTTCAGAAATTTCAACAATCGTGCATTCATACGTACGCATCGGTTTGTTGCATGATTTTATTTTATTTTCTTTCATTTTCTTTCATTCATTTTCTTTTCCTTTCTTTTCTTCTTCTTCTTCTTCTTCTTCTTCTTCTTTTTTTTCTTTATTTTATTTTATTTATTTTTCTTTTATTTTTTTTTTTTTTCTATCGAAATACATGTATTGTTCCTTCGTTCAGTCTCGTAAAATTAACGAATGTCGATAATTTCATAATAAATACAATTATTGTTGCAAGTTTATAATAACTTCGAGCATCGCATTCTAGTTCCTGATGATGTTGTTATTTACAAAAGAAACAGATAAAATTAAAGAATGCACTAATATTTTAATAAATAAATCGTCATGCATCGTTATATCAAGTCTTGATAGTAATAATAATAAGCGACGAATCAAAACGTATGTACACGCATAATAATAATGTAGAAGTATGAAAAACAATATTATTTAATTTCATCCCTAATCACCCTCTACCCCTACCCTACCCCCCCTCTCTCTCACTCTCTCTCTCTCTCTCTTATCATTTCTCGCGCTTTATTCTTTCTTCTTTTTCTTCTTCTCATTATTATTATCTTTTACCGTTAGACAATCGTCTAAATAAATCTCTGACGTATATTATTAGTACCGTTAAATCAAAAGCGACGAATTAATTAATGTTGATAAAAGAATTTTGTTATATATATATATATATATATATATATATATATATATATAAATACATGAATGTATGCGCATAAATACGTTCAAATTCATTCGCAAAATGAATCGTTAGGAGTGAGTTCATTATCGTACACTTTTAATCATGACGACGACGACGACGACGACGACGACGACGACAACGACGGTGACGACGATGGCGACGACGACGATGACGAAAGTGACGATGATACTTGACGTGCAATATTTGTTATTTGTTATTTGTCATTTCGTTATGCAGTTTGTTCGTACAGGTCCTTTCTTTTTCATTCTTTCTTTCTTTCTTTCTTTCTTTCTTTCTTTCTTTTTTTTCTGATTTTTCTTCATTTCTTTTTTAAAAAGTCTGCTACAACGAGGATACTACTAATCAGCATTTATTTACATTCGTCATTCAATCGCAAAACTTAATCGATAGACGAAACATAAGTATAATAATAATAATAATAATAATAATAATAATAATAATAATAATAATAATAATAATAATAATAATAATAGTAATAATAATAATAATAGCATCGCAAGTTATGGCTGTTTCGAAAAATTCAACGAACGTAGAACTTCCTTCAATTCTACGATATTTAATGATATGAATTACTTTTCTTCTTTTTTCTTTTTCTTTTTTTTCTTCTTCTTCTTCTTCTTCTTCTTCCTCTACGGTATTACACTACGTCTTTAATGATTTAGCTTACTTTATTACATTCCCTTTTTTGCGTTACAACAGTCCTATGAATTTTAAACGTCGAATACGAATTTCGTTCGGTCCATTCGTAACAGGGACGATGCCTTGACAAGATAATCGAGGATTATGGAAGAATAAAGAGAATGAGGTGGAGAAAAACGAAAAAAAAAAAAAAAAAAGAAAAGAAAAAAAAAGAAGAAGAAGAAAAAATAAGTACAAAAGAAGAACAAAAGCGACATATGAAAGAATCAAAGGTAAAATCAAAAAGAGGGAAAGAAAAAAAAAAAAAAAGAAAAGAAAAGAAAAAGATAATAATTAAGCGAGAATGGGCCCTTTGATGGTCCTACGGATCAAAATTATAGAAGAATATTTTGCAACGGCTACGAAGAACTTTTGGCCTGGACGTTTTTTTCTATTTTTCCTGTTCTTTTTTTTTTTCTTTTTTTTCTTTTTTTTTTTTTTTTTATAAATGTGGATTATACAACGTTTTTCTTTTTTTTTTTTTTTTTTAATGGCTAGGAATTCTTTTTCTTTTTCTTTTTTTTTTTTTTCTCTTTTTCTTTTTTTCCTCTTTAATCGACCGTCTTTCTATTTTATTTATTTATTTATTTATTTTTTGTTTTTATTTTCGTTAAATCTTTCTTTTTTGAGAAAAAAGTGAGTGTGTGAACGAACGAGAGAGAGAGAGAGAGAGAGAGAGAGAGGGAGAGGGAGAGGGAGAGAGAGAGAGAGAGATAGACACATAAATGAGAAAAGGAAAAAAAAAAGATCGATAAATACACACGTGCAATCGTGTACTATCGTGTTTGTTCGTACATATTATACATTGTACACGTTTGAAAGCTATTACAAGTAATTAAATATGCGAGTAGAGTTTAGTTTTTATTTTCTCTCAAACATATATCCCGTTAACTATTTTCCATTATTCTAATTTCATTAAAAATACCGCCGTTATGAGGACGAGGGATCGTAAAAATAATAAACCGTGTTCTTTTCTTTTTTTTTTTCTTTTTCCTTCTTTCCTTGCTCTCTCTCTCTCTCTCTCTCTCTCTCTCTCTCTTTTATTTTTCTTCTTCTTCTTTTTCTTTTTCTTTTCTCCTTCTCCTTCTCTCTTTTCTCCTTTTCTTTCTCATCGCAATATTGCGTTTAATTACGTCCGGAATTCTTGATTTTATCGAATTTTTTTTTAAAGCGTATCTTTTCGCTCAGCGTTCGTGTCCGGTGTAACGTTCGCATAAAGTATTATGATCGTGTCAAAGAAAGAAAAAAAAAAAAAAAAAAAAGAAAAAGAAAAAGAAAAAGAAAGAAAAAAAAAAATTGAAACGTCGTTGAAAAAAAATTACAATAAAATTATTATCATACTTCGTCGCGTATGATGATAATAATAATAATAATAATCTAAGGATAACGTGTATCACGTGCGTGTTGGAAAATGAGCAAAAAAAAAAAAGAAGAAAAGAAAAAGAAAAAAGAAAAGAGAGAAAATGAAAAAGGGAAGAGGGCAAAGGAAAATGTCGACGTGAACGTTATTTCGTAAGAATAAAAAAAAACAATTCAATATAACAACAAAAAAAAAAAAAAAAAAAAAGAAAAATAGGGAGAAAAAAAAAAGAAAGGAAAAGAAAGAAAAGGCGAATCCTCGATTACGTGAGAAAAAAAGAAATCTTTTCAATGAGATTCTCGCAAAAAAAAAAAAAAAAAAAAGAAGAACGAAAATGCAAGTCAGTCGTACCTTTCGATAAATATCATTTTTAAATAATTTCCCTTTTGTTTTTTTTTCTTTTTCTTTTTTTTGCTTTCTTTTAATTATCATTATAATTATATTATTCCTTCCTTTGTGTTTCATATTGTAAAGTATGCTTTTCGGGAGACACTGGAAAGGGAGAGAGAGAGAGTGAGATAGAGAGAAAAAGAGAGAGAGAGAGAGAGAGAGAGAGAGAGAGAGAGAGAGAGAGAGAGAGAGATTGAGAGAGAAAAAAAAACAAAAAAAAAAAAGAAAAAGAAAAAGAAAAAGATTAGCATGTTGCCTGTAATATACACAATTATCGCTGTACATAGATATACCGTGTTCCGTGTGTTCTTTTTTTTTTTTGTTTTTCTTTTTCTTTTTTTTTTTCTTTTTTTTTTTTTTTTTTTTTTGACGAAGAAGAACGTTGCCCTAAATGTGGAAAAGAAACGTCGTTTTCTCATCCTTTTTTCCTTTTCTCGCTTTTTTTTCTTTTTTTTTTTCCTTCCTTTATTTTTCTTTTTCTTTTTTTCTCTTTCAATCCGTATCTCGTCTTTGGATGGACTTTCAATGGATCTTCTTCAATCGAGACACGAGCGCACGATCGCACAAGTGTGCGCGCGCGCAAAATTTTCGCAGCGTGTCGATAAAAGGATCAAAAAAGAAGAAAGAAGATAAAAAAAGGAAGAACGAAAAGGTAAAAAAAGAAAAAAAGGAATTAAATAAAAAAGCAAATCTTGATCTTTCGAGTTGATTTTTGAGAATCAGGTTCGAACCGGCGAACCGTGGATTCGTCTGTCTGTCTACCTGTCTGTCTGTCTGTCTGTCTGTCTGTCTTACTTCTTCTTCTTCGTTTTTGATTTCTTTTTTCTTTTATCTTCTTCGAAATCGGTCGAAAGTTTTGCGAGCGCGCATGTGCTATCAACGTAAACGTGCTCTTATTAATACATATATATACACACACGCACACACGCACACACACATACACACACACACACAGGCAGACTTATTATTTTTATCGAAGGACGAATTCGTTAGATCCGTCGAAGAAGAAAAAGGAAAGAGGGAGGGAGAGAGAGAATGAGAGGAGAGAGAAAGAAAGAAGAAGAAGAGGAAAAGAAGTAAATCGAAGGTACACGCGTGCATATAATTATAATTTCATTAATTTCGACGACTTGAATATTCGTTTCCTTTTTTTTTTTTCTGTTCTTTTTTTTTTTCTTTCTTTTCGTTCGTTTTGTTTCGTTCTATTTTTATTTCCCTTTCTTTTTTTCTTTTTTCTTTTCTCCTTCCTCTCTTCTTCCCACCGATCGAACGAAATTCGGTGACCTCGCTGCTTATGTCACTAAACTAATGGCTAATGTTTTATATCGTATCATTAATCACTACTGGGTTTTTTTTATTTATTTTTTTTTTATTTTTTTTTTTTTAAGTTCCCTCCCCCCCCTCTCCCAACCCACCCACCCACCCCGTTTCCCTCTAGATTCTGGGCTTAACGAATTAACAGATTCAATTCTTTACTTCATCGAACGATTTTTCTTTTCGGTTCTTCCTGTTTTTCCTGGTTTCTCTTTTCTTTTTCCTTTTTTCTTTTTCTTTTCTTTTCTCTCTTCTTTCTTTTCCCGTTTTATTATTCGCACGGATACAAAGGACAATTTCGTTGATAGTTCCTTCTTCCTTCCTTTCCTTCCTTCCTTTTCGTCCTTCTTTTTTCTTCCTTTTCTTCTTTCTCTTTTCTTTTTCCTTGTTTTTCCTTTTTCTCTTTCTTTTTTTTTTTCTTCTTCTCTTTTTTTTTTTTTTTCTATCGTAGTGAAGTTCATACGTAGGCGGTATTTTCCATGTGACAGAGTAATTCATTATGGGGCTCTTCGTATTATCTAATCGTAGTCAAGTATTCCTAATACGAAGATCGCATTAAATCCTAGTTAATCACGAAATTTATTTATTTACTTTTATTTATTTATTTATTTATTTATTTATTTATTTATTTATTTATTTATTTAATTTTTTTTTTCGTTTCTTATCTAGAACAACACTTATCCTTTCAGATTTCATTAAATTTCCGGTTAATTAGAACGGTTTAAAATATATGTTTTAACGATGATGATGACGATGACGACGATGATAATGACGATGATGATGACGATGATGATGATGATGATGATGATGATGATGATGATGATGATGATGATGATAACGACGATGGAAGGGCTTACGAAAGGTGACAAGGTGATTTATTTTTCTTTTCCTTTTTTTCCCCCCTCTTTTTTCTTTTTTTCTTTTTTTTCCTTACATTCGACAAAATTGTGTTTCGGTGGTTTGCAAGAAAAAAGAAACAAGAAATAATATTATATTAATTCTCGCACTGTCTCCCATAATCCGATGACGTTCAGTCTTCGTGGAATAAAATTTCATAAAAACAGATATACTCCGTGCGCGAAGACCTACATTTTTTTAATCTACGCACCGAAAAAAGAAAAAGAAGAAGAAGAAGAAGAAGAAGAAGAAGAAGAAGAAGAAGAAATAAAACATTTCCGTTTATTTAACGATCATTTATTTAATGAATGATCATCGTCAATCGGCCGATTGAAAAACTTTGAAAGGAGTGTCTCCCCCACCCCCCCTCCCCAAGCGAGAGTAAAATGCGAGATACGCAAAATGTGATTTCCCTTTTTTTCTCTTTCCTTTTTTTTTCTTTTTTCTTTTTTTTTCTTTTTTGTTTCTTTTTTTCTTTCCTTTTTCTCTTTTTTCTTTAAAACACAGGTACACTTCCAACGATTCATCGTTCGTCGCACTATTTCGTTTCTTTAACAGACATTCGTCCACCCCTCCCCCCTCCCCCATCCCTTATCACTTTATCATCTGTCATCGGACTCTTGCTCTCTCCTCGTGTATGCAGGTTTGATAGCGTTATGTATGTATATGATTATTCAAGATCCCTGGTATCCCTTAACGGCTACGATGTATACAGGTATAAATTAATGACGTGTCGTAAATTATAAACTAATGACTAAATCTCGTTTTTAAAGGGCTTTGTACAGTGTATACAAAAGTTTGATATGATAATACTTACATCTTACATTTTCGTTACTATTCCGATACTATATATACATATATATATATATATATATTTATTTATTTATTTATATTGTATATATATATATATATATATGTATATTATATAGCGTTATTTAATCAGTCGAATCCGTACGTCATTCGTTCGTCCGTCAAGTTTTACGTTCCGTGCATATAAGTGGCTAATAATAAACAAAGTCATCACTTTCTCTTCTTTCTTGCGTGCTTAAACAGTCCAATTTTTTTGTGTTCGCATATATTGTTACGTATGTGTATGTGTTTATGTATATGTTTTATGTTTATGTATATACGTATAAGTATGCAGTGTGCGTGTGCGCGTGTGCGCGAGCGCGTATCGTTTCGCTCTTTTGGAAGAATTATCAATTAAAATTCATTAATTAATACGCCATCGCGAAAATATTCCGCCTTTCATAATAAGATTAAGATTTTTCAATTTCTTTATCGTCTTCTTCGTATTCTTCTTCTTCTTCTTCTTCTTCTTCTTCTTCTTTTTCTTCTTTTTTTTCTTTCTTTCTTTCTTTCTTTTTTTTTTTTTTTTTTTAAATCTCCTTATGACTTTAGGAACATCATATCCAAAATAATATGTATTCGTTATTTGTCGTGGCAAGAATGTACAAGCTCTCGAAAATAAGTGCCACGTCTTACTTTATCGATCTATCAAATAATCTCTCATCGTGCGAGAACATCGTGTTAGAACGTAAGACGCGCTTGGAACATTTTCTCGTATGTAAATTTTTTTATAATAATAGTAATAATAATAATGGTAATAATAAAAAAAAAAAAAAATAATAATAATAATAATAATAATAATAATAATGAGATAATGATAATGATGATGATAATAATAATAATAATAATAATAATAATAATAATAATAATAATATTAATGATAATAATCTTTCTACCATTTTAATCCGACCGGACAACGTAACATCAAGTATTTGAATTTCGCGCCAGCTCGAGTTCGGCCATTTTGAATAATCTTAAAAAAAATAATTCGATAGATGGAAAACCAAGAGGCTCATTAGATTTTCTATTATAGTATTTAATTCGAAATGGTGTTTCTTTTGAATGCTTTTTTATCTTTGAATTTAAGAGAATAGTTAAAAGTATGGCGATTCTGTTTGATAAAGATCGGCGCGTGATTCGATGTCGGAAACTCTTTCGAAAAGTTTTCTCTTGGTATTTTCGAAGATACTCAACAGAGCTGAGAACTAGCGAAAACTGAAATGAGCCGTTCACCATTCGTTTACCAAATATACTACCTATCGACGAACTCGAGCGGACCGATTGTCGATTACTCTCACGTTCCCAGCCTGCAAATAGCAGCCGTATCGAGAAAAACTTTACTATTTATATATTGCTCGGAAGTTGGCCTCGCTCCACCATTGTCTTTTCTTTTTCTTCTCTTCCTTTTTTTCCTCTTCTTCCTCTTCATCTTCTTTTTCATCTTCTTCTTCTTCTTCTTCTTCTTCTTCTCTCTTTTACACACACACACACAGTCTTCTATCGCTTATCTCCCCCATTCATCGATTGGATGGGAAGATCTTTCTAATGAAATGCCTTAAAATACACGACAAACGAATTAGGATACTTAATAAATGCATTATCGTCATCGATCCCCGTCTTGTTGTCGTTGGCCTTTTTCTTTCTCGCTTCAAAGAGAAAGGCCATAAATTCTTGGACTTTGTACAAGTAATTTAGATTTGAAAGCCCTCCCATACTCCTTTCTCCTTCTATTACTGATAACCAACACGATAATGTACATCACAAGTTCGATTTCTTTTCGTTTTGTTTCTTTTTTCTTCTTCTTCTTCTTCATTTTGTTCTTTTGAAACGCTCCGTCGGTAAGATCGTTTCCTGTATCTTTTTATTTCTTTATTTATTTTTCTCTTTTCTTTCCTTTTTTTTTTTTTTTTTTTTTCTTTCCCGTTCTTTAAACGAAACCATTTTCCGTTTCTTCCTTTGTTCGTTCTTACGTTTGTTCGTTCGTTTGTTCATGAGTCTTCACACTTTTGATACGTGCCAGACAAAATATCCCTTCGACCATAACAGGTCCGTTGGTCAAGGTTAACTTTTATAATATTTCTTCCTTCCTCTCGTTCCGTACTTAGCTGTCGCGATGATCGCATGAGCGACTAGATTCCGAGACTCCCGTTGGATTGTTTGCACTTGCAAGAAGACTGTTGAGTTTATTGTATCTCTGACTTCCTGAGCTACTCATCGTATTGGATGCTGAAGAACTGTGCTGTGGATAACTACCTGTCCTGGAGAAGCTAGGCACTTTGTCTGTAACAAAATAATAATAAATAAAAAAAACTCGCATTAATGTTATCAATTACGATGATAAATCTAACGTTATAATTATTAATTATTATAATATTATTTGATATATGATATTTTCTTATATGGTTAAAAAATGTCAAACGATTTTTTATTTATATCGATTATATTTATTATTTCTCTGTCTATCAACTTAACGTTTGATTGTAACAAGCTCTAAACATTTAGAAACTTTATTTTGTATTCAGGACGTTTGTTATTACTCTGCACTTGGCGATTAACCACTAACCAATCGAAGTCGGTTGGGCGAATCTTGAAGTAAAATTACACCAATTACCAATTAAACTACCAATTACCAATTATTACCAATTACACGTGGCGTTCACTGAATACTCGACTTCCTGAATGGGCCCCATTGTCTCATCTTTCGTATTTCCGTATAAATAAAGAGCCGGGACATGTCTTGGGAAAAGAAACGTTAGGACGATCGCGATTGAAATTTATTAAAATTGTGTGGATAAAATGTTTTTTTTTGTTTTTTCTTTTTTTTTTTTTTTTCTTTTTTTCACCATTGACCGTCAAAAATTATTATAATAGTTTCAACTAAATAATTTTCTTTAAAATGATCTCGGATTAATTACCTTTGCAACGATTATGCCTCGATCTATCCTGCGAACCGATGCTTCCACATTGCCTTTGTGGAATACAAGAGTAGTTACTGTCGCTGCTGTAAGCAGGAGATGAAGCTCTGTTGTTTCTCCTACGTGGGCTCTTGTTGTCCCTACTTCTCGAATCGCTTCTACTGTGAACACATCCGGATTGCGCGAATTGATTGTTGTACTCGATCGTATCGGCATAAAGACAGCTAGACTCGGAACAGGAACAACACATGTCCGAGTGGGTATTGGAGTCGCAGGATTTTCTATCCCATTCGTCGTTTTCCTGCTGATAAAGATCTTCACCACGGAATATCGCATCATTGCGTCTGTAAATATCATCGGTCATGGCGACCGAATGTTCTATATGAGGATTCGCGTGATTTATTCGGTTGAAAGCGTTGTCGTGATTTCTATAGTTGTCGGGTAGACCATTGTGATGGCCATAAATCACAGAGCCACTTTCGTACTCGTTCTCTTGAGTTTTGTAATCATAATGATTGAAGCCTTGAGGGAAACAGGGTACCGGCGGTGGATTGGTTTGAGGTGGAAGGGTGGTATATCTTCCACTCTGTTGCATGTTCGCGTAAGCAGCTATATCGTGCGGAGGTTGTCCAGTCCAAGGTGTTGGTGAGGAACTAAAACTGTTGCCTGCTCTGATAGGTGGTGTCGGTGGACTCTGCGAATTGCACGATCCAGAACCATCCAAGTCATTCTGAATGTTCCTCTTGCCTAAATGAGGACTGAATGAAACTTGTTGCTGATGATGTTGTTGTTGTTGTTGTTGTTGTTGCGATTGTTGTTGTTGCTGTTGTTGTTGTTGTTGTTGCTGCATTCTTCCGGACAGCAACGTTCCCGAAGGTGGTGGATGTTCCGGCGGAGGTGGCATCATGTCGCACCAGTTGGGCAATGCCGTACCGCTTGTACTTACAGCACTTTGGGGATTGTTTGATATGGGTATCTTATACTGTGGTCTTCTTTGTATATCCGCGTTCTCGTCGGTATACACGCTGCTAGTGTTGTCGCTGCTGGGTGACATCGTTGATTTATTGTGTTCTTGATTCGAATCCAAACTGGAATAGTCAGGTTTCATGCAGGAATCGCTAGAATTTGATTTCTGTCCGCTTGTTTCCATCGAGTCTGGACTTCGACTGCCAACGCATAAAGTGGTAGTAGCATACGGTTCAGGTGGTGCTTGCAACTGTTTTCTCGAATTGTAAAACGTGGTTAAGTTGACCTCTGCGTACTCCGAACCAGCCATGCTGACGATTCCCGGGGCAAGCATCTGCTGATTATTTAACAACTTGGTTTCGCACTCCTTATCGGTGGGACCCTGAAGAGTGTTCGACGGTCTCCAACCACGTTCCAACCACAAAGTGTCCTTATTCAGCTGACATATGTCATTTGCCGTACTCACCGGAACGTTTAAATGACCTAATTGTTTGCTCATCGCCTGTCTGCGTCTCACATAAAGAGCACCCAAGAGAACAGCCACGACTGTGAAGACCATCGTAATTACGAGTATCAGGAACCAAGTTTCACGAACGATGGAGACGCTACCGTGACTCGGATCTGTTCGAGGTGGAAGTTGCGTCAATTGACCTGGATCCATGTTTAGGAGAGTTGGATTGGAGAAAGGACCTAATCCAATACGTGTTAAGCCAGCTACGCGTGCCGTGTAAAGTCCACCCGTCGAGAGACTGTTGATCACGACTGATGTGGTAGAAGCGTTTAGTGACATTTGACCTAGGATCTTATTGCTGCTATTGCTCTTTATTTGAATCTATAAATAAACGAAATAAAGTAAATTACAAAGAAAACATTGATCGTACAATAAAAAAAAAAAGTGAAATTAAATTAAAGAATCTCACTTTATATCCAATCAATTGTCCATTCTGTGCATTCTTCGGTGGTGGTGACCATCTTACAAACGCCGAAGTCATATTGATCATACCAACGTGAACGTTTTCCGGTGCACTAGATGGCACATCCTCCAAAGTTATAGCCAATTTTACATTGCTAGGTCTCCCTTCTATGGTTTTGTAAAATGGCACAAGGAAGAACTCATATCGTTTGTACTTCTCCAAATTGGTTAGAACGTAACTAGTTGCACCGGCATTGAATACAGTTACCATACGATATTCTGGCTTCTCGGTGAGTTCACGGTAACGTATATAAAGACCCTCGACTAAATCAGCTGCACCAAGTATCTAAAATACAAAGGGGAAATGCTCAAGGATCGCATCCAACCGGACGAAGGGGATTTACGTTTGTCACTGTCCAAGTAACCGCTTTTGATCTCGTGAACTTACGTCCCACATAATTTTAACGCTGGTACTGCTCAACGGTTGGACTTCCTTCAAGTGCAGTATTTCGCTGTTAAGCCGATCCCTCGCGCGAATCAATTCTATCTGTGGTACCGTCCGTTGATCAAGGCTACTCGTGTGAGCGACATCGGACAACGGTCCAGGAAGCGACAAGCCGTGACTATTCTCGGCACGCACGAGGAACACATAGTTAGTGTCAGGCTTTAAATCCGTTACCTGTAACAGGAAATGTTGATCTTTATCATAGTCATCATTATTATCATCGTCATTATTATTATTATATTTATGGAAACACTCTAGGAGAGAAAATTACGAGTGAAATAAATAGTAATAATAAAGGAAATTTTCACATGACTTTATAACATTCGTTGAAACATAATTAAATTTACACTGGCATATGCACTTTTTGAATATATCAGATAGTTACAACAAAAGTTTCTTTCGCGCGAAGTTGTTTGCTTTATCTGGTAGTGTTTAAAAATAAAAAGATACTTTTGTTACGATTTAATACATTCACATAAATATGTTTATCGCGATACTTACGGTGTAAGTGTCGTCGATGACACTGGTAGCTGCGACAACCCAACCGGTATTCAGATTGCTACTGAAATATTCAATGTTATAACCAATGATTTTGCTTTGACCTTCGTTCCCAGGACTCCATGTTAGAGTAACCGAGTTACTGGTAGCGTTTATAATTCTAGGTTTACTCGGGCTCTGGGGCAATGCCGATATTTCCGGAGTTCTGTGAAAGGTCGTCGTCGTGCTGACCGTCAATGTGGCAGACCAAGATGTGTTACCAGATTCTGAGCTTGCAATACACGTATATAAACCGGAGTCACTCATTTGAAGGTCATCGATGAACAAAGTTCCATTGTTAGCCATTGTTATACGATTTCCTAATTGGATAAGAACACCGTCCTTGTGCCAATGTACCTTTGGAGTTGGAGTACCAACAGCACGACAAGGTAACGTGGCAACGCTTTTGACAGGAAGTGTCTGATTTGCTGGGCCCAACTCGATTATCGGAGGTGGTATGTCTTCGGCAGACATTACCTTTGTTAACAGGAAACGAATAAGAGAGAACGATTTAAGAACAGTTTGTACAGGTGTAATAAAATCTTTGTCTACACTTTTTATGACTATCTTTTAGAACTGTTGCACCGTTTAGATTACTTTTAGCTCAGGTGTCGTCGACTTACCTGAAGGAAGACAGTCGCCGTACTTGCACCAGCTTGGCTTATGGCGCTACAGACGTAATGGCCTTCGTCTTTCCTTATCACACCTTTTATGCGCAAACTTTCATCCTGAGTGACCGTATATCGTCCCTGATAAGTGTTTCCCGGAAACATCAACTCTTGAGAGCCCTCGCGGGTCCAAAATATCGATGGCTTCGGAGAACCACGAGCGGAACATGAAAAAGATACATCCGATCCGGTACTAACCGTTTCGTCTTTCGGAAAATTGACGAACACCGGCTTCGCTGTTGATAAAACACAATGACAATTTATTATAATTAATATCAACGATAATATTTACTTGAAATATTTACAAATGGTTTTTTTTCCTTTTTTTAATTTTCTATGAACTAAAATAATAATTTATAATGACAGCAAACAACGAATTTATCGTGTTTAGGATAAAGTAACGTTATCGTGGTGACATTTAAGTATGCAAAAGCTTTCGTATTCTTCGACCGGTTGTTAGAATGCATTAAGGAAAGAAGTAATAAATTTACAATGGCTTGGCCTAGCATAATACCGGTTTCGACGTCTTGTGAACGCGTCCATTTATTTTTAGTATCTCTTAAGACGCTAATGACTCGTTGGCAAGAGATTAAAAATGAAATATCTGACTCGATTATGCGAACGAACGCGTCCTCGTTGTCGTTGTTGTTGTCATTGTCGTTGTCGGCGTTGTAGGAACTATTTCCGAGACAATGAGTCAAGCCCTACCAATCGATTCTCTTCTCTATCTATTTATACTCACAATGAACGGTGAGTACCGCATTCGCCGAAATAGCGCCAACTTCGTTCTCCGCGTCGCATATATACGTTCCTTGATCCTCGGGTATTACCCTCTCGATGCGCAAACTTTTGTCATCCAAAATGTGAGCTCGGCCAATCGGCATCTTTCCATCGTTACGACGCCATAAGATATCTGGTTGTGGATCACCACCCACTCGACAAGCAAATTCTGCGGTTTGATCCGTCAGAATAGTTTGATTGCTTGGTATGGCGCTGAAGTATGGTTTCACTGAAATAACGAATGATCGATTTAATTCGAGTTTACTTTCTTGGAAGAGTCCAATTATCAGAAGATATTCAAGCCTCCATCGTAGATTCTTTCTATAGAATCTTTATATCATAAGATTTATCTCAATTTTTTCCTATTATTCTTTTCTTTTCTTTTCTTTTCTTTTCTTTTTTTTTTCTTTTTCTAATTTATATTTGACGAATCAATGAACGTTTTCTATCTGACACAATAGACTTTGTTATCCGCAATTATGAAACTCTATCGACTCATCGACTGACTAATTTCGTGAATCATTTTACTTTTTTTTTTACTTATACATACATATATATATATATATTTGATGATTCAATGAATAATCATATTATTTTTCCTCGTTAAAAAGAAAAATAGAATTTTGTAATAATAAAATAACGAGACATTCTGTATCGTCTATCAAAACGATAGGGTTGAATTTCTATCAATTACATTTATCAAACATACTCGAAGAGTTTTATATACTTCCTTAAAAAAAAAAAAGAAAAAAAAAAAGAAATCTCAAAAATCTATTGAAGAAGAAAATCAAAACAAGATCAATCATAATGTAATCCATACCATATACAGTGAGCGACGCAATTGCTGATTCCTTAACTCCGACCATATTTTCTGCAATGCACTGATACTTTCCTTGATCCGTTTGCCTTACGTCAGATATCAACAAGTTTCCACCGTCGACAAGAGTAATTCTAGAAGGTGTAAGGAAAGTTTTGACAAAAAGTTATTTGACAGATTGATTTCGATTGATTCGTCTATCATGGAAAAACATTGAATGGAAATTATTCTCTTTTTGTGAGAGAAAGAGAGAAAGAGAGAAAGGGAGAAAGAAAGAAAGAAAGAAAGAATGAATGAGTGAGTGAGATGGAATGAGGAGGAGGGGGGGGGACACAACACGCACGTAGAATGTCACCGTTGAACGGACTACTAATTAACGAGTTGGGAGAGAGATTCGAAGGCATTAGAGTGCGAGAGAAAGAGAAAGAGAAAGAGAAAGAGAAAGAGAAAGAGAGAAAGAGAGAGAGAGAGAGCCGACGAGGCAGCATTAAATCAATCGCTCCTCGATTACACCCTTTAATTTATAGCGCCCGTTAATTTCGCTGTCGACGAGAGATCGTGTTTCCTCCGTGCTCTTCGAACGGGCATTAAGCGCAAGCCCGCGCAATGCTGTTGCTGCTGCTGCTGCTGCTGCTGCTGCTGCTGCTGCTGCTGCTGCTGCTGCTGCTGCTGTTGCTGCTGTTGCTGCTGTTGCTGCCAGTGCACGCTCGGTCTCTGCGTGCACGTCAGAAACGTGCGTGCTAAACGTAAACGGATTTAATTCATACTACTCCGAGTCTAAATTATCGTCCGTTCGATATATCCGTTTGTTGTTTCTATTGGATAGGGTTTTGGAACTTTCGACGATATTGATTTTCGGAGTTTAACGTTCCATCGGGCTTTCCTCCGAATAATATCCCAGATTTTTTTCACTGATAAATCCTTTCATTATATATGGATATTTTTTTTTTCTCTCTTCTCTTCTCCCTTTCCCCCCTCCCCCACCCCCACCCCTTCTTTTTCTTCATTTATACATTTATTTTTATTTTTATTTTCACTCTTTCTCTCTTTTCTTTTTTCTTTTTTCTTTTCCGTCCCTTTCCCCTCGCCCCCTTGTCCCTTCTTTCTTTTTTCTTTTTCTTTTTCTAATGAAATCAATTTATTCGAGTATCACGATTAAAATGAAAGCCGATCGAGATAATACAAAATAATTTTTAAATTTGTATGAAAGAAAATAAATGAAAGGAATGTTATATATGTCTATATATTTTTATTCTATGGATTTATACGCGTACGCGTAGACGTGGATTGTTCTACGCAAAAAGAAAAAAAAAAAAAAAAGATCCGATGTAAGTTCGGTAATGAATTAATTAATTATCTTTAATTTATCGTAGAATTCGAAGATAGAGACAAAAAGTCACTTTGATCTGACATAATTGATCCTTCTTATTAATAACATTTTTATCATGGAAATCATTGACATGAATTTATTGATTACTCTTTTTTTGAGAAATTTATTGAAAATTCCAAGGCATATTAATTTTAAAACATGAAGGACACGTATTCTGACATGGTTATCGTTAAGGAATGCGTAGGGAATGGACAGGACCATCGAAACTCAAGAGAGAGAGACAGACAGACAGAGAGAGAGAGAGAGAGAGAGAGAGAGAAAGAGAGAGAGAGAAAGAGAGAAGATACATAGGGGGATATAGAAAGAGAAAGAGAGACATAGAGAATGGATGATTCGGTAGTACTCACCGTTTGTTGCTTTCCAAGTCTATAATGTGACCATTCCGCCTCCAATGGAGGGTTGGTTCCGGATGACCTCTGGGTGGTCCGCATTCTAGCATGGCGGTTTCTCCAGCAGCCACCCTTGTATTCTGTGGTTCCGTCCGAAACTCGTCTCGTAGTACTGCAATCATCCAAATGCACGAAGCATTAAAGCACTGGTAGATAGTTAGGTAGGAGTATGTGTATTGTCGATCGATGATTCCAACGATTTCTCCTTCTATCTATCAATCTATTTCTCTCTCTCTCTCTCTTTCTCTCTCTTGCTCTCTCTCGCTTCCTCTCGCTCGCTCTCTCGCTTTCTCTCTCGAGAGATTCGTCGGATATTCGCATTGTCCCGAAAAAGATTCATTGGTATATCTACATATGTATAAATTCTATATAAGGTCTCTGTGTATGTTGCTATGTATATATGTATGTATGTATTAAGGTGGCTCAGCAATTTTGGTACAATCGAAAAGGGGGATGATATCTTTTAAGAGAATAAATACAAATGCATAATGATTTTCGTTTAAGAAGTAATTTTTACTTTTATCATTAGTTTCAATTTTCTCTTTTTTTTTTTTTTTGTTAAATGAAAATATTCAAAAAGAATATGAATATATTGTATATGTATATATATATATATATTTCTTTTTTTATATATTATACATATATATATATATATACAGATAATTATTCTAAGTAACTAGTATTGATGAAAAATTAACATTTAACATTGAAGAATTCTTTATTCCCATTCTTTTTTTCTTTTCTTTTTTCTTTTTTTTTTTTCTTTCCTATTTTGCATAAACTTTCCGCGCGTATATTTTTACATTTACTAAATACAAACGTTCGATATATGTAGAACTTTTCAATCTCGTTATACGAGATATAAAAGTGAACGTAATACTGTGATGCAGAAAAAAAAAAGAAGAAAAAAAGAGAAGAAAAGAGATAAAAGAATAAAAAAAAAAAAAAAAAAAAAAGAGAAAAAGAAAAAAGAAAAAAGAAAAAAGAAAAAAAAGAAAGAAAAAAGAAAAAAGAACCATTCGCCGAAAGGTAGATATCCCGTTGGTGCGAATTTCGAAATAATACCTATGAAACGTGCACAACGCAAACATTTATCTCCGCAACCGGAATAACGGTCTTTAAAAGCGGTCGCGAATATACGCGTCTAGGGCCGAAGTCAATGTAGAAATTTATTTGTCTGGGGTGGTGGCTCGACGAAAAAAGTTAAACACGAGAAGCTGTTAGAGAAAGAGAGAGAGAGAGAGAGAGATAAAGAGAGAGAGATAAAGAGAGAGAGAGAGAGAGAGAGAGAGAGAGAGAACGAGAGTGAGAGTGAGAGTATAAGAGAGAAAGAGAGAAAAGAGAGTGGGAGATGCTGTGTAAACGACGTAATTAAAGGCCAAGAGATATGGTCGCGAGTTTGTACGTGCGAAGGAAGCGAGGAAAGTGGATGGCAAAGAGAAAGAGAGAGACAGAGAGAGAGAGAGAGAGAGAGAGAGAGAAAGATGGAAGATGAAGATACAAGAGGAAGAAGAATCGAGAGGGGGACTTGCATAGGTATCGTTTATGGAACGACGGTCGAAGCGATTTCGACGTAAATCGATCGTAATCCCTTTTCTCTCTCTCTCTCTCTCTCTCTCTCTCTCTCTCTTTCTCTCTGGTTCGATCCATGAGGAAGACGAGGAAAGAGGAGGGTCGGCTCGTATGGGTTGAGTTCTTGACTCGCCTCGCCCCAAGTCCCTCGTTTATCGTCCTCACCCTCCTCCCACTCACCCTCCTAACCTTTGGAAATTCTCTCCGAATTCTCGGCGAAGCTCGTCGAAGACCGGCCCATCGTCTCGTCTTTCCTTTTACTCTCTCTCTCTCTCTCTCTCTCTCTCTCTCTATCTATCTATCTATCTCTCCCTCTCTCTCTCTCTCTCTCTCTCTCTCCCTCCCTCTCTCTCTCTTTCTATATCTCTCTCATCCTGGCTTCGTTCACGACTTTACTTTAGTCTACTGCGCACCGAGCAAATAGCCACGCGCAGAAAAGCACGATACCTTTCATGCTGTTCGTCTTTTTTCCATTTGCTAGTAGCCGCTGAGCTTTTATTCATTTTATTTTTTCTTCTCCCTTCCGTTTCCTTTTTTTTTTTTTCTTTCTTTCTTTGCTTCTTCTTTTTCTTCTTCTTCTTCTCTTTTCCTTTTTTCATCCCTTCCCTTATTAACCCCTTTTTACATAGAACCCACGCATATACGTACACCTACTTACGTGTACATACATACATATACATACATACACGTACATAGAATAAATATATTTGTGTGTGTGTATGTGTATGTGTGTGTGTGTGTGTCCGTTAACACGCTCGCGAAAAATTAGTTTGTACAAGCGTCGAATTTTCGTGAAGTAAAGGAAAAAAAGGAAAAAGAAAAAGAGACGTGTTATTACGAGGAAAACATGGGACCAAAGAACGGTGGCGATGGCGACGGTGGATGAAGGGGAATGAAGGGGATAAAGTAAGGGGATGAAGGGAGACGAGTGGATAGGAGGAGGAGAAAAAGGAGAAAGAGGTGAAGGAGGTGGATGGGATAGAGGATAGGTGGGAGGATTGGGCAAGTGTTCGGAGATAGTTAGGCTCTTGCACTCTTGTTCTTCCATTTTCTTCGAAGAAGATAGAAAAGGAAAGGAAGAAAAAAGAAAAAGAAAGAAAGAAAGAAAGAAAGAAAGAAAAAAAATCGTTTCGTCTATTTCGGAGTTATATTCTTTTCGCGACTTTTATGAACCACCCTTATCCCCCTCCCCACTTCTTTCTCCCCTCTGATTCTTATCCACCTACTACCTCCCCCTTTTTCCCCTTCTCTATCTCTATTACCTTTCCCCTCTTTCATTTTTAACCGTCCTTCTTTCCTTCTTTAATGGATTAACTTTTTTATTGTATGATCTCTTTCCATCTCTCTCTCTCTCTCTCTCTCTCTCTCTCTCTCTCTCTCTCTATCTCTCTCTCATTCTCTTTTATTCTCCTTCTTTCTTTCTCTGTCTATACGTTTCGTTTCGTAGAGAAATTCTCGACTTCTTGAAGAGAGACTAATTCGTCCGATCGAATTCCGTTGTAGAGTATTATACGACGTCGGAGAAGCTGAAGAGTCGTAGTCGTAGTCGTCGTAGTTGTCGTCGTTGTCGTAGTCGTCGTCCTCGTCGTCGTCGTTGTCGTCGTCGTCGTCGTCGTCGTCGTTGTGGCATCGGTCGTTAATGCTCTCACCTTGACGTATACCATTACCATTTGTCGCGCAAGGTCGGATTACTTGGAAAACGTTCCACCAGCATCTCGCGGTGAGAAGGGTTAGAGAAGGGAGGAAGAAAGGGGCTGCTTGAAACCCCGTAAAAGCCGATCGATCGAAGCCGAGCGTCCATTAAGAGAACCAAGACCGATTTAACAGTCTCTCTTTGTCTCTCTCTCTCTCTCTATCTCTCTCTCTCTATCTCTCTCTCTGTCTTTCTTGTTCTTGCGGTATAAGAAGATGAAGGCTAGAAAATATTGTCCGTTCGATTGTAAGTTCATTATCTAAGTGTTTCTTAAACTATTCAAATCTTTTTCTATTATCCCGTACAATGATAATACATATCTTAATTAACAATTTTAATATAAAATAGATAATTGAGATATTATTAATGTGATTAAGTATCTCGATAGAATATTCTTACTATTTTCTATCTTATCTTTTATCAGAACGAAAGTTTTACACGCGTATGTGCAAACGTATGTATACATTTTTTGTATGAAATCGAAAGTAAAAGAAGAAGAAAAAAAGAAAAATCCAAAATGTAAAAAGGGAAGAAAGAACGAAAGAAATGAAAGAAAAGATCGAGAGCTTGTCGAAGCTTTCCAGAAGTTCCCAGTTTGGGGATGGAGGGACGGAGGAACGTTGGGAGGGAGGGAGGGAGGGAGGTAGAGATGGAGGTAGGACGAGTGCAGCGAATAGAGGGCGATAAATAACGGGGAAAAGTGCGAAAAATGAGAGAGAAAAAAAGGTTATCGAGACGTAGGGTATGAAAAAAGGGGGTGAGAAGGAAAAAGAGAGAGAGAGAGAGTAAAAAGGGAGTAGAGGGGTGTGTCGTTGTCGTTGTCGTCGTCGTCGTCGTCGTCGTCGTCGTCGTCGTCCTCGAATAGAGTGCATTAAGCCGGTGAAACGGTAACGACGGGACGAAAAGCTAAGTTATGACCGATCGAGATTAAATCCGGCAATTTATAAAATTACGAATTTAAATGGAAGACTCGAACTCGTTGGTAGTAACGGAGAGCTTTTGCTGCCGGTTCAGAGATTGTTCGATTTAACGTTCGATTCCATCGATGGCGTTGCGGCTTCGCGCCGTACGAGTTAACGGATTTTCACGATGTGCAACGTGTCTCGTAAAAAGGATTCTCTTGTTAGCATTCGCAGCTCGTCCGCAAACAACGCCGTCCGCTTTTGGGCGCTTTTAATCGAGGACCATTTGCGAGGACTACTCTTCTTCTTTTTTTTTTCCTTCTTCTTCTTTTTCTTCCTTTTTCCTTCTTTCTCTTTTTCTATTTTTTTTTTATTTCCTTTTCTTTTCCTTTCCCCCCCACCCCCCTCCCGTAAGAGAAGAAGTCCCTCGATAAGAATAATATCGAAACGAGAAGGAGGAAAGAAAAGAGGTGATGTAAGTTAATTAATGTTAACACGTAGCGCTGTAATTATATATATATATATATATATATATATATATATGTATATATATATATTTTTTTTTTTCCTTATCTTTGTATTTTTTAATTTTTTCTTCTTTCTTCCTCACTTCCTTTTCTATTCTTTTCTTTTATCAGTTCATCCTCGTACAATTATCCGGTTTAAATGATAATGAAGATCAACATGAGAAATGCAATTATTTTTTATTACGAATTTAAATAGTCTGCGGAGTTTTAGATTTAGTAAAAGGAAAATAGAAAAATTGAAATGAAACGAGAAGAAAGAAAAATGGAAGGAACGAAAGGGATATTTTCAAGCATTTCTATTGGCTTTAATCACGATCCGTTCTATTGTTTAGCCCCTTTTGCTAGTATTTCCGAAGTAAAGGGAAGCCAACGCACGATATAGCAATTACGTCGTTTAGAACAAATCTCGGTAGTTCTA